GTGGAAGTGGCAGTAGGAAGGCGCTGAGCTCTCCCTGCCGGGCAGCAGCCTCTTCAGCCCGAGCTCCCCCAAGGCCCCGGGGGCAGGACGGTCAGTTTTCTGACATGTCCGTGCTCCCGGAGGCGTGCGGGCAGCGGGCCATGGATATCGGCTCCTGATGGTGTCCTGCGGGGTAGGGATGGTGGCAGCCTTGGAGAGGGGACTACTCTGCATGGAGCTCCCGCCATCTCCCAGCTCCCGGAGAACTGCCTGAAGAGCTTCCACGCCTGGTTGCCTGGCTGCCGGCCTGTCCTGCACCCATCCGTCCTGACCCGTATGCACACACCTGCCTGCCAGCTTTCCCTCTCACGATGCCTGCACCTACCTGACCACAGCCCCAGCCAAGCCCCTTGCACTGGGAAGAGCCCTCTTCAGTCCCCAGCCCCAAGGCCACAGTGGCAGCTTGCTCGGCACACAAATCTAGGGGGCACAAGATCCTCGTGCCTCCCCTGGGGTGCACACAGCAGTGGGAGCCACCCCCGAAGCCATGCCCCCGACACCCCAGACAAGCTGCCCATGACTCCATCCCATGCTTTGCCCCACCCCAGCTGGGAAGAACCAGCCCCTGCCCCTCCCCCACTCCCTCCCTCACTGTAGGGGTCTTGATCTGCCTACCCCTCCCACATCCCTTCTCTCCCCCATGCCCCTTCCCTCCCACAGACTTCTTACTGGCTGGATGCTTCTCTCCAAGGTGCCAGGCTGTACTCCTGGCTGTGTGCATGCTGCTGTTGTGCACCTGTACATTTATCTGTGATATTATTGGCCACATTGGCCAAAAAAGATGATTGCTGATTAATGTTAATTTTCCTTTTATTGGTTCTGATACGATATGGACTGATGTATTGGTGCACCTCACAAAATCTGCATTCGGTATTTGAAATAGTGCTGGTCAAGCATATTCAAAACACGCTTGCAAGTCCATCTTGCACTAGGTCCAGCATTCTTTCAGTCAATGTGAGGCACAGAGAGAGTTTCAGAAGTTGAACCCGGCATATATTTAAACAATTATTGCAAAGAGAAGTGTATACTACAACCTAGAGAAGAGGAGAGGACTCTGAGAATGAAGGAAGCCTATTTGATACTTTATTATGATGGCACAATACCTATGTGTTATTTTAATAAATATTTATATCTTTCTTTTTTTGGAACATAGGCGTGTGAGGCTTTGTGACTGTATATGCTGTGGGCATCTCTTGAATATCTCTCCTGCTCCTAAATATATTAAGTGGAGATGAAAATAGGTTATTTTTACTTTCAGGACCAAATCTCCAAGAACCCAGTCCATTTCACTACTTACTCAAGGAAGAAATAATCACTGATATCAATGCAAATGTTGCCTTTGCCAAAACTAAATTAATTAAAGCTGAGTGAGAACTTCAAAAAGTTGGCGAATGAGAATGAGAGACTGGAAAGGCCTGATGGGTCAGTAGTCAGATACGAACAACTAAGCAGTTTTGTTCTCTCCGATAGTTTCTTAAAAGCAGATTTGACCAGTTAATTAAAAATCATTTGAGTGATGGGACTTGCATGTTTTCCCCATTACTGTAAGGTGTATTGTGAACAAATTCTAACCCATATTTCTGGGCCAGAATGTTTCCTTTTAGCACATTTGTCCATGGGAAACTATGTATTTTCCTCTGGCTCAGTAATAAATTAAACGCGATTAGCAACCCAGGGGCTCAATTAACTATATAGTTCACTCGGGAAGATGATACACTTCCATCTGGAGTTAGTCATTTGGAAACATTTCTAATACCCTATCTATTTAATAACTGCAGACATATTTATAGCTCACACACACACATCAAGGAACTTCACGTGAGGTAGAAGCATTGTCTTTTGGCCATTAGTAATTGGATATATTTTGCAAAGAGCATTTTTTAAAAATGTAAATGCCAAATGTTTTCATGGGCTGCTGTCCTAGCCACAAAAATGGCACATGTGAGTGTGGGATGCATCAGGAAGAGACATTTTCAATAGGTAATATTACTGATATTATACAAGGGCATGGGTAAGACCACAGCTGCAATACTCAGTAGGTTCTAGTCACCTGTGGTTCAGAAAGATGAGCTGAAACTGGAAGAGGTAGAAAAGGGCTACAAAGTTGAATAATAGGGAATGGAGCCTAGCAAATAAGAAGCGCATAGTAGGGGTTGGCTTATTTGCTAGCAAAGCTGAGATAGGATCTGACTGATAACTCTAAAAGCATTGAGCATCGGGGGGTGGGGGGAAAGAATTATTTAAGATGATGGACAGTATTGGCACAAGAATAAATAGATATAAAATGTTATAGAAAAAAATAGGCTGCAAATTAGAAGAATGTTACTAACTAGAGCAAACAGGTTTGGGAATAACCTTTCTATAGGAGTAGTGGGGCAAAAACCCCACCTCTTTTTAAAAGGGAGCCTGTTAAATTGATGAAAGAAGAGATTGTATGACAGCATTGTCCATCACTCTCTGTAGTGGAATACAGGTTGGTTTATGAAGTAGATAGTTGTGAGTGTCCCTTCCAGTTATATTTGTTCAGGTGTGCACTAGAGGACTGGAGTGGAAAGAACAGATGCCTTCAGGGATTGGTAATGGGATTAACAGTCTTATTTCTTGGTTATTAGTTGAAATGTAGCCCTGGCTAGTGACTACAGAAAGCTGTTACCATCTGAGGGTTGCTTGGTGAACTGAGTTCATGAGTTTTTAGCTGAGCTTCCAGTGAACCAAATGTCCTATTGTTATGAACCTACTCGGGTATTTGCACTGGACATCTGATGGAGACCAATACACTGCAACATTTGCAGTGCCACCTGCACTGCAGTATCACTTTAACTAGTGAACACAACTCAAACCACAAATCAACAATGCTGTTTAAAATTCGAAACAGAGTCACTGCACTGTCCAGGCACTACAGTGCGTATCTGGTGAGTGGGTTTGTCTCTAAAGTGGCAATTAGAGTCACTTCTAAAACAACACCTTTTCAGGCTTTTTTTAAAAAAAATCCTGCGAAAATATTGGATTTCTGCTAAATACCTTGAGTGATAAAAAAAAATGATGGCTGTAAACTTTAATAGAAAATAACAATCTGTGTTTCAGGGCTCAAATACAACCCCTTAGAAGACTTTAATTTTTCAATTTTTTTATTGGCAACATTCATAAGGCCTTTTTGACCAGCTATGAAGAGCTGCTCATGAATTTGAGGGTGGCATTCAGGCAAAGTCCAGGAAAGCCTCAAAAATGCATTTATAGCTCTTTTTTTTTTTCATGTGCCACTGTACAACCCTTAGAAAAAAGGAGGAGCAGGTTGCTCTCCCCTGCACTGTATGCACGCACAAAAATACTTTACATTAAGAGACACACCAGCACAAGTAAGCTAACATGTGAGCAAGAGTCCTGCGTCTGAGGACAGTGATGGTGCACCCTCAGTTACCCTGCAAAGCAAGCTGAGTTGCTTGCGAAGGTGTGTGTGGTATGAAGGGAGACAGTCCTGTTTGACAGAAGAATCTGAAGAGGATAGTGGGATGAGTATTAATAGAGGGAATTAGCATCCACATGCCAGGATGATGGGTGCATTATGCCTACCATGACAGAAATAAAATTAGCTTTTAAACATGACGGAAATAGAATTAGCTTTTAAACTCATAAATGTGCTTCCTCATTTCTTGCTCAGGCCCATCTTGACATGCTGGCAGAAACCAGGAATCCCAAGAAAGTCTTCTATAGGCAGCAAACACTGTGCCAGACACTGGGAGGAAACCCGTGTCCTCTACTCACCATCACAGCCGTGCCAGAGTCTAAAAGCCGCAACGACTTGGAGCAGTTCCGTATGTATTCAAGTGAAACATAAAACCGTTTTGGAAAAAGTTACAAAAACTCTGAAAAAACATATGATGGCCCATTATAACTTATTTTAACAATGAAATGTCTCTCATTATTGGCTTGACACCATTTTCTGTTTCAGAATTTCTTTTCATGCTATTTCCAAGGAAGGATCAACATCAAAACATTTCCGTCTACCAGAAACCATTTTTGACTGCTCAGTTCATGTACAACTTAAAAAATGCTTGTTTTCATTCTGCATCAGAATTAATTTCTTGTTTTCAAGAAACTACAAAATCCACGTTTTCCCAGATGTAGGAGCAAACAATATTGCCTGGCCGAATTCTGTCTCTTGTAATTCTGTTCAGTCTCCTTGAATGCCCTTGGTAGATTCCCCCAGATACAGTTTTCTTCCTCACCAATATTTCCAATACTTGGAAAATGACTGGTTTATTTAGTGCATTCTAGTAGGTATATTTATTGTGTTTCACCATGGAGTTAACCCACCATGGAAATAGAGATAAAAGAATTCCAGTGCAAGATGTATGAACTGTGAAATGGCTTTGAGGACTATTTGGGACGCAGAGTTAGGGCTTGTAGATCACTTCCTCATTGAGACATCGTTAAGTACAGAGTTCCAAAGGATTTCTGAATCACATTATTTCTTACATGTGCATTTTGCTATACTTTGGGACTCCCAGTGACATCAGTGGGAGTGCTAGACCCATAAATTTAAAGAGAAAAAACATATCAGCATCGATTACTACCATATAGATCTGGGAGGTGACTTGTACCATTTATGGTTTTCTGCGTCCTTCCTCTTTTTTGAGATGGTGAAAGTTACTGGTTCCATTTTTGATTCCAGTTTAGAGTCTGTAATGACACTGAAGTTACAATGTGACTAAAGTATGGTTATGTTTTTCTATTACAAAGCATCAGTTGGCATTCATTTGGGAAGCATTTAGTTTGGTATTAGCACAATTTCCAATTGTAAATGTGTTGTTTCCGGCTGAATTTTTAAAACAAAATCACAGAAGTTGCCAAGTATACCCTGGATGAAAATTTACCAGTGCTTGCAAACAAACAGCTTTATAGTCTGCGACTGAAGGCAGCGTAAAAGAGAGAGAAACCTCGGTTTCGGGAATGGCTATTATCGGCTTTATCTACATTACAATAGCACCTAAAGGTCTGATTGGGTGCCCTGATGTGATAGGCACTGTATGCTCAGGAAACAAAGAGATAATTCCAACCCTAAAGTGCCTTTGATCTAGGTTAATGGTGAGAGAGAACAGGTGGATAAAACAAACAAATAAGGGGGATTGTGGAGAGGCAGGGTGAGTTAACAATAATATGAGTAAGATTTCATATGGATATGCTTTTGGCACATTGCAGATCATAACCTGCCTAGCTGTTAGCTGCTGGCAATGTTCTGTAAGCTTCACAGCTGAAGCAGGTCTTAATGGGGTGTTTGAAGAACGAAATATAGAATTTGGGAAGGCTTGTGCCACAGGCAGGCTGGCATGGAAAGATGAGTGTTTCTCTGCCCAGATTCATGCTCCTTTCTCACACTGGCGTTCAAGGTGAAAGCCAAGCTACGGATCATCCTTGTGAATCTAAACAGGGCTTGACTGTGGCTCTCTTACCAGGTGAATTCCTGGGCAAACAAAACTCTTTGGATAGAGGTGATATCTTTTATTAAACCAATTCAATATTTGCAAAAATATATATTTTTTTCTTTGCAGGCTTTCGGGCTCACATGCCCTTCATCAGGCAAAGGTAGAAGCCTGGGAGGACTCTTACCATCTTTAATTTCTCCTTCGCCTGATGAAAGGCATGTGAGCCCAAAAGCTTGCAAAACATTTTCCTGCGAATATTTAGTTGGTCTAATAAAAGATAGCACCTGTACCTCAGAGTTTTGTCTGCATATGTCCTTAGACAAACATAGCTACAACCAACATCCCTAATTCCTGGCCTATTCTGTTTGGGGTTTTTTTGGCCCTTTAATGGAAAATGTTGAAACAGCTCACTTTTTTTGTTCCAGTTCAGACAAAGAAATTCTGCTTCCTGGCCAGTCCTACCTGGGTGTCCAACTAGATGTTATAGCGTTACAGTATAACTCTGGAACCTGTGACTCATGATGTTGTGACACTGCATCGCAGTGCAGCTACAATAGATTATCTGCAGACCCACAGACACAAAAGCACAGAGCCCCGCCGATGGAAACAAAGCTTACAACGTGTTTTCCAATGGTTTAACCCTTGAGACCTGCCATTGAAGGGGACACATGAATACATACACTAATAAGAGGTCCTGTGGAAAGCAGCAAGTATTCAATTCTGCTTTGGATTTGGCCGATTCGCAGGGACAGTGATTTGATTTGGTGATTTGAATTGCTGTCCCGATTTAAATTCGGCGGATTCGGAGATTCGGCCTCCAAATTGGGCTGAATCTCCTCTGAATCAAACAGGCAGAGGCAGCAGGGTTGGCAGCATGGGCATGGTGGCAGCGAGTAGGTCCCCACCCCCTGCCCACTCCCCCAGCCCCCCCATGGCTGCCCCCGCTGGCCTCAGCATCGTTGCA